AATTCTGGCCCTTTCGGCAGAATTTGACCTTTACGAACAACGCAAGTGTACATCAGCGTTGTCTGAGGTCAATGACATTTACGTGGGCGTTGTATGTGGCTGGGTTATGACGTCACGGGAATTCCTCCACGGAAATTCGTTGTTGCGTTGAGATTCCTCGCGCAAGTTTCCTCATGCAATCACTTCTGCTACTAAAACTTAGTTCAGGTTAACTAGCCGTTATTCTTGTCCGATTTAAACCACAATTGTAACGTGTCAACAAATTTTTCAAAAACTCCCAGGCATAAAATGCGATTTTTGAGTAGTTGCGTGCTGAAAGATGGACAGACATACATGCCGAAACTGATAGGAGCATTTTTGCAACATTTGCTAACACCCCTCATTGTCGCTGTTATATTATTGGAAATTAAAGCGAATTTGAAAACTGAAGTCTTATGGAAGACTACCCCCAGTTCTGTAGTATGCAAATATTCAAGTTGTACGATTTTCTCCATTAATTATAATGAACTTTTATTTGATAATGTTATTAGCCATAATAACTAGAATTAAAGGACAGTGAAGTAAATTAGAATATTTATATCACGTGGTTACGAAATTAACTTACGTTTGTAATTCAACTTTGTTTGCAAAGTGGCAGAGTAATTCACTTTCTGACCCTACTGTCGAAGTTTTAACCATTTCTCTACGAGTAATGTAGGATTAACTTTTACGCCGTAGTTAAAATGGAGACAAAACTAGCTTTAATTCGATTTTTGGTCATTAATTTATAGAACCAGTGAATATTAATTGGTCCAAACATATTGATGCCCTAAAACTAATTAAATGCGTAGCTTCTTTAGTCCGCAAAAATCTATTAGACATATTCAAATTTAATTATCCTTAGTAATGGATTGAAAAGTTTTGTTGGTCGAAAGGGGGAGTTTCTTTATATGCATTGAAGTTGGAAATATATAATATTAGTTATCATAAAATCGTTTTCAGGTCAAATATTACCTCGTTCATTTTAAGGCGGTCTGTAGGATCCATGACTGTGAAGTCTGAGCGACTTGAAATTACCTCCTAAGTTAACACGAGCTTCTAAAAATAGAAACTGTATATTTACGAAACGAATGAACTTTCTGTATTTTCCTTATTCGTAAGTAAACAATACGAAGTGAAAGTACTATGACACAAAGCGCTTTTAGGGGATATGAGAGGAACGAACAGAAGAAAATTGCGTAACATTTAACGTTGATTGACTCGCGCACCCTGCGTTGGGCTGGACACGCAGCACGAAAGCAGAACCAAGAGGGCTGTGTTTCAAGTGCTGGCTTTATGTGTAAATTGTCTCGGTTTTGAGATCGGCTTAATCCATTGTGATTTCCTTCGTCGCCTCTGAGCCAGAGGTTTACCGGGCCTACGCGTCTTTCGAATTCTGCGTTAAGTTGTAATTTCCCTCTGTAGATAATCACATGGCGAGGTAAAGATGGATGGATATACCGTCTTAGCCGTGTGGGAAGAGGCCAGATCGAGGCACAAGGCGCAGTAACATGTTCTGACTAAAATAGTATAATTTTAATGAGACTTAAGTCACAAGACCGTGTCATGACTAAAGAAACATGTTCGAAGGGTAAGTCTCAAGAACATATTCTGAAAAAACTAACACTTACAGGCGAAGTTAATGATTTATACAGCTCGTATTACATTTCAGGGTAATTAAATGGGGGGCATGTTGCTCCGAAAGAAGTAGAAAAATGATACCTATGATAATTTTGGTGGAAGGTTCCTGGAAGGTGAATACAAGGAGTCTTGGTGTTTTAATTTTTTTTATACAGAGTGCTCATTTTAAAACGCAAACATAACCAGAAATAAGATCACAAAATGTGAATTGGATCGATATTTTTCTCAGGACTGAATCCAGTGAGCTTCTGTTTTAATAATATTGAACATCTGGCTTCTAACAAGAATTAGTTATTAAGTGGTTTATTTGGTGAGTTAATCAGTATTTTTTTTATTTATTTAGGTATATAGGTAGTTTGGTGACTGGGGTGGGTAGCTGGTTACTTGTTTCCTTGGTTTGTTTGGTTTAGTCGTTTGAAAGGAGCGACTACATTCTTCCTTGATATATAATCCCGACATTTCCCATCAGTTAAAGTACCCGACTAGAGACCTAGAAAATTGACTGGTCTGTCTTTGAACATCCAAAATTCTTAGACCTGTAAGTTGATTTCCTTGCAGCAGCATTAAGCAACACAGAACATTCCCTGAGGGAGAAGCTGAGATACATGGCTTCTCTCTCCTAGGACACTGTCCACGTGGAGCCTGTCTTTGTCAACAGCACGAGATACTTTGAATACTGAAGAGACTTTCAGCCTCTGACTCGGGATATTCCTACGTAGAATTCTATTTGCTATAACAGAGAGTAAATCTTTCGCCGATGCAAATAGCACACTTTGAGTGGTAGCTGAGAGAGTTTTTGAAAGAACTGATTTTCCTGCAGTGCCATTTCATTCAGGCTGGTGCTTCCTCCGGACATTTCCATGTAATGATTTAACATTCTGGTAATCTTTTGCGAGAATATTGGCAGATTCCACGTACTATGGCGAATAGGCGCCTTTCAAAACGAAGACCGTATTTGTCATTGAAACAAGTGATATCAAATAGTATAATTTTTTTACTATGACGGTGTTGGTCTTGTGGATTGTAACGCCATATGAATTTGTACGTGGATACCAACGTCTCAGAGAAACGTACTGCATCCATCTCCAACATCGACATCGTCAAAGTCAAAGCCATAAGAACCTCAAATCTCACATAGTATGATGTTTTGAAAATTAAGCGAGGAAAGAATGTGAGTAGCCTGTGACCTATATTAAATATCCTGGTGATTGAAGGAATAATTAAATACACCCTCAGGATATGCAGCTTTAAGTGGAGTTTCGAAGCGGGTACTAACGGAAAGAAAGTTAGACGCTTTCCACTCTGTAATCGGCCTGTACAAAACGTTAGCCTAGTGCTTAAGCACCGCCCTTGAAGGCCTGTGTGGAGCGTTTATACAAATTTCCACGGATTCTTCACCTCGGATCTAGATGGAGCTTAGTGGTCAGTTTTCCGCTGTGCTTACTTTGCCACCGGGTGAAGAGAACCCTTTACCCATTGAGTACGCGTAATTCATCTGTTCCACTTCAAAGCTGAGAAATTAATGAAGGAATCACGAACTTGTTTGAAAAACCGCCTAAAATATTTGGATCTAGACACAGTCGATTCTGGTTATCATGAAAATTCCAATTTATTTATTTATTTAGACCCCGACTGATAAGAAATTAGGGCTATGTATTGTACTTCGTTAACATTTTCTTTCCAGCGTAACCGAGTTTCACGTGACATTAGATACTGTCACGCGACGCTCCAGTCAGAAAGAACGTTCCAACTCTCCTCTTCACTCAAAGTAAATTACGTTAGCCTGCAACGCCATAGAACATGTAATTAAGTTTGAGTACTGTCATGCTTCACGATTTCAAGAATATTTTCAGTTACCAGCCAGAATCTTGAGACAGTAACATTTAAACTTCATAAACAGTTTTTGTAGTGTACAATAAATAATGTTTAGTCTCGCGTACATTCCGATTTAAGCCATGTTTCTGGCAGCGAAACGAAACTTATACAGCATAAAATTCTATAGTAAATTATAGAAATATATGAGATTTTAAAGGATGCGAAACTATGCGTTTAAAATTTTACAGTGCTTCGATGTACGGCACATTTGCAACCAATGGCGTACAGTACGAGTACTCTGCAGCCTACAGTCAAGACTGAAATGTTTTTGTCCCTGTTCATGAGACGAGGATGCATAAAACTCTGTGTCATTTGACTATGGAAGGGAACAGTATTTAACAAACAGCCAGTAGCTGTTATTCTGGTCCGTAATAAATGGTTTATTCTAAAACAACTGGTCTTTTGGAGCGGAAGTGTGTTTAGAATATTAGATATCGCTTATTCTAACACGGGC